TAGGTCTGGGAGAGAGCTTGAGGTTCTACATTTCTAACAAGCTGATGTTGATGGTGCTGGTTAATGAACTACCCTCTAAGGAGCAGAACACGCTAAGATTGTCTATTTTCAAATAGACAAATTCAGACTTAAAGAAAAATGAGTAAAAATTAGTGAACTACAACAGAAATCCTGATTTTACATTATCACCAAGGCTCATATTTTTTAAAAAGACAGAAAAACAATGATGTATCTAACTAGCTGATATTTATTTTAAAATATCTATTAAAGAGACAAGTAAAATAAAAGTTGCCATTTTCAAAATGAATTCTACAAACTTGGGTGGGAAGGAGCAGAAGTGGAGGTATGCTGCACATGAATCTAAAGCTTGGAAAGAAATAAACTAAGTAAGCCACAGTATGTCATTAGAAAACACAGACGGATTCCAGGGATTACTGAAGAGGCTTAGAACCCCCACTCCCCACATTTAGAAGTTTCTCTTAATGAGTTTTCTTTTCCTCTTTGTAATTGTAGAATTTAAATTGATGGGAGTGATAAAACCAATATAAACCAAATTGTATAATGCAGCAAGTGTATTCTATAGCTGGTTCATAATGCTTAATATGCTAGACCCTGAAGTTGTTCCCACTTCTACCTTCTTCTTCTTTTTTTTTTTAATGTCCAGGAAATGCTTTAGTCTTCTTTACCTGTTTATTTAAAGATTATATCATTTTTGAATGGATACCATTAGATAACTATTGTGGCAGTGTACAGAAATGATCTTCCCTGAGCCCTTTTCCATAGAACTATCCTTCATTTTCATTTTCTAGCCATATGGGAACTCCCTTTGAGCCTCTTGAAACATCTTGTAGCTATTATGATTTTCAATAATAAAGAGTTTCAACATTTCTATGGTAAGACTGAATAAACTGAGGCTATAGAGAAAACATAACTTTCAGAGGTCCTAGGAAATATCAGTGACAGAAGAATCAGGCAAAGGAATTAAAAACTGATTACAGAACAAAACTAAGACTAGATAATAGGCTGACAGGGTAATAGTATTTGTGTGTATACTGAAATTAAGATTATAGAAAGTGTTGGCTGGGGCAAGGGCAGGTGATAAGACTAGCACAGCAAGATTTATAGTTGCTGCAATTATATTGAGAAATTAAAACAGGTGAGTTTGGAATTTTAAATCTGTGACTTTTTCTTATGGAAAGCAGGAAGTTAAGAGTAGGACACGTGAGTGAGAAAGCATTTTATATTCTTTACCATCATCTTCCAGGAAAAAAATGCCCATTTATTGGTAATATTGGGGAAAGAGATAATATTTCCTTAAACACAGTATTTTAAGTTTTTTTGGAATTGACCAAAATTAATTAATTCGTGTATCTCTCTGCTCACTTGAGTAATATTCCCACATCATAAGGTCCTCTTCTTAATCCACAGTGAACTATAGTGGAAGGCAATAGGTTATCAAATGGAAAACCAGCTGTGGCCAGGGATTTGTGTGGAAGAAATAGAAACCCTAGGACATGGGTTTTGTGAAAGAACAAAAGCTCTAAATCAGAGGTGATACTGAATTTTAGTATGCAGTTTAACCCACTGGAAGGAAGTACAACAAAATGTTAATAGTGGTTAGGGAGTGATATAATGGGTAAATTTTAAATGTTCTTTTTGATTTTCTGTATTTTTCATAAGTACCTATTTCAATCAGAATGTAGAAAAGAAAAAAATTAAAATTTACTTTAACTCAGTGGCAAGGATTTGTCTTCTATCCTTCCAGAATTGTTACACATGGTTCTCAAAATAATTAGTGGCTTGTTCAGACTTTTCCCTCTTTCTAAATCATCCCTGTAAAACAGTTTTGTAGGCATAAGCCTTTTGAATTGAAAAGTTTCAAGAAAGCTGAATTTGGGATGTGAGGTACTTTTGCCCTTATTAACATCTACGAAGAAATTGTGAGATAATAGGCATCCACATTTGTAGGGGAAGGTGGAAATGCATCAAGATGGTTAGCTTAATCAGTGCAAAGAGATATAACTCTTCAAAAATATTAATAAAAATATTGTATTGATCTTAATTAAGGGGTAACATACTGCTTTCATTTTCTATCTTTCAAATTCATTCCATCCTTGGGAGAGGTCGATTGTTAAGACTTGAGCCTGTCACTTTCCCCAGCTGTCAGCACCCAAAATAAATGTCTCCTTATCTCTTAAAAAACAAAACAAAACAAACAAAACAAAACAAAACAAAACAAAACAAAAAAAACTCCTCCATCCTGAATGCAGTTTTAGGTTTATTAGGTTACAGGTCTTCCTATTATATTGTCATCACTTGATTTCTGCCTTCTTTAAACTCTATTTTTTCTTTCTTTCTTTTTAAAAAGCCATTCCTATTTCTTATTTGCTCAGTCATTTTTTACTGTCTTAATTTTTCTTCAACCCACATACCTTAAAGCAAGTGATCCTCCAACTGGTTTGGGGTTTTATGCCACATGTTTCTGAAGGATACTGGCTAATGCTTAGTGATCCAGAGCAAGTTAGGAACCTCTTTACACCTACAGGGTTAGCAATGCTCACAGATGCCACTGGTTATTACTGGAAGGCCTACGGCAAAGGCAGAGGAGAAGAAAAAAGGGAGAATAAAGGGAGTGGGGAGAAAGGAATGGGAGTAAAGGAAGACAGGGGTGGAGAGAAGAAGGTACACGAAGTAGTGGTAGAGAGCCACAACAATAGCCTCAAGGATATTCTTTACCAAACACTGCCTGAGGGTGTTCTAACACAGAAAAGACTGGGACCATGCGTTTGTTCACCAATAGCTTTTGCTGCCTTAATTATAATGTTGGTATGTATATACAGACACAGCAAATATTCCCATTTTTGAGATTTAACCATATCCACAATGGTTATCTGTTATGTATTATGTCTCTGTTACATATTCTGTATCTTGGAGGTAGCAACACTTCACAGAAAAGAAATACTGTGAATAAGTTACATGATAATCTGCTGAACGTTTTATATTGTGACATGTTAGATGTTTTTAATTGGTGTGTGTGTGTATGTGTGAAATAGCTGAAAACACCACTGTTTTAAAACAAAAGAATAAATAAGAGACCAGATGATAATTTTATATAAAATTTCTTTGGTAGATTCCATGGTAGCAGAAAGGCTCTTTTAAGGCTCTAGGCTAGTCACTCTTTTTTGGCAACTGGAAAAGCTATGACAATAGTTTCTTTTTACTGAGATGCTGCTATCTCATGTAAAAATCACAGGACAACATTCTGTTTGAGAATAATTCTGCCTCAATTTATTTTCTCACTTTCTCCTTCTTTATATTACCAAGAATGTAAAAAATAGACTTTCTTTTCCCTTTGGTAGTTCACTTGCTAAAGTTGTCTATTCTATTCTGGAATTAAGAATCTTTTTCATTTTATAGTAATTCTATATGGCTACCAATTATAAGTTCAAAACAGAACTCACATTTTAGTTGAAGAACAAGAAACAAGAGGAGCCAATGAGGCTATCAGGAGACTGAAATAATTTTCTTTCTGGACAATATTCATTAAAATAAGCACCATAGGTAGAATAAATTTGGAAGAAAAAAATCATAAGACCCACCAGGAATTTGTTACTCATGTTTTCAGAAATACTCGAATTTACTGAAATAAAGCTGAATGAGGTGCATCCAAGATAGTATCCCTGAGGAAGAATACACTAGTAGGAATTAATCTCTCCAACATTTTATTTACATAGAACAGGAGAGTAGCAATTCAGATAAATGTTAACCTCTTTTTCAGAGATGGTCTAAGGAAATGTGTTTATAATAATGATAGTGATAGTAATAGTTACCATTATCAAACATTTTATAAAACAATTATTGAGTGCTTGTTTTTGGTGCCAGATACTTTACTAAGGCTTTCTACGTTCTCAGTCAATCCTCATAACAAATTGTTGGGGTAAGTATCGTTATAATTATCATCATTTTACAAATGAGACAACTGAAGCTCAAAAAGTTTAAGTAATGTATACTTAATGCTCATAGTTATAAAGATCAAACTGGTACTGGGACCCAGATCACTCTTACTTTGTTTTCAAAACCCATAATCATAACCATAACATAACCATAACTCTTTGCTTATAGCCTCCAACACAAAAAGATACTGCTAAGAAATAGTGATGGAATATGGAGGAGACTAATGAATATATTTAATTATAAAAATGAAATTATTTTAATGGCTATGTAGAATAAAAACAACAAATAAGTAAGAGACTCCCTAAAGAACCATTAAAAAGGAACTGGCCTTAACAGCTCTGATAAGCTGGGAAATGATTTTAGATATTTAGATATTCAATGATATCAGGCCCAAGTTAATAATCAATAATAGTTTCTATATAATTCCATTGCATTTTCATTTTGGGTTCTTAAATTAGACTTTAAGCAGGTAATTGCTATTTAGTATCTGCTTTTAACCTTTATGCAATCTCAGGGAACTCCACAAAGGTATGAGCTGCTGGTACCGTTTGAGGTTTCAGAGCTTTGAAATTCAGCTCTTCCAGGGAATTAGAGGTTTTCCTTGTGCTTGCTTTTTATGTAGCCTTTATTAATGTTGAGTTTAAAACAGAAGAAAAGCCCACCCTAAATGATCCCTGTGTTGGGAATCTGCTCTTCTGTCTTGGACCACATAGATGTTTTCAACTAGAAAACATGGAAAACTTCCAGACCAAGACTGTCTGCTACCTGGTATGTGTAGAGGTTGAAAGAATAAATTATCATACAGTGTTTCTATCCATTTCTACATATTTATTTGTCAACAAACATTTTTCAAGTAACGACAGTACTTTCACTGAAAAGTTTTAGTACAGATTGTTATCTGTGAATAAAATTATCTTGAAAACCAAGCAGGAAAAAAATGTATAACTCATTGGGTGCCTAGGCTGAGCCAAAAATCTGAAGGAAAAAAAACACACACACACACAGTATGAGTGTGATGATCCTCAAAAAAATCCCAAGATATTTACCTCGAACAGCATAGCCATCTTTTACTGATGCTGGAAAAGGGGGTAGGTTGTCTTTTGCATATACATCTTGAGCAAGCACTCGCCCCATTCCATCTGAAAAAAGAGAAAATAAGAAAAACATTGATTCTGAGAGCAATGGGTTAAACAGGCAGTCATGAACAAGGTGGGTAAATGCCTGTCTGACAAGGCTAATATTCTGATTTCTATCCCAAGGAGTTGGAGACAGAAGGAAGAAATGTATCCTTATGTCTGAAATGAAAGATTAGATTCAGTCAATTAACAGTTATGTTCACAGAGATTATTTGAATATGAGTACACAGTCATCAAAGATGTGTTTAATTTGTTGTGTCCTTAATTCTTTAACAACCCAAATATGACTTTCTTTAAAAAGCCAATTCTTGAACATCTTCATATTTGTTGATCCAGTAATTTCATTTCTAGAAAGCTATCCTAAGAAAACAGATAAAACTTTATGCACATGTTTATTTTAGTTGTTTACATTAGTGGGAAAAGTAAAGAGATAAAAAGATCAATAATACAGAAATTTAAGTAGATAATGATCTATCTTTATGACAAGATATTCTGCAGGTTAAATTAATACTTATGAAGAATATTCATTGACCAGGAAAATTTTTATGACACATATTTAAAAAACATACATAACTGCACATGTAGTGTATAATTTTTACTATGTTAAGACAGATGTGTACATGTCAATAGAAAAAGATGAGAAGGGCATTCATGAAAATATAAAGCATTTGTTATTTTAGTGTGTTAGAATTATGTATGCTTTTTATTTATACTTTTCTGAAAATTTCCAAGTTTTTATAATGATAAAATATCATTTTATATTTAAAAAGGTTTGTTTTCTTAAGAAAAGTAAAGGAATTTTAGTCTTTGATTTTGGCTTTATTAGCCTAAAAAAATTAGTGATTACAAATAAGCAGAGGGCCAGTAATCTGTCTTGTGAAATGACTATTCAAACTACTCTGGATAATAATTGTTTTCAACTAGAGCTTAGGAGTTTGAACTAGTGCCAACAAGAATAAGAGTTTCAAGAGTCATGACCAATCCCTTAAATCTTTCAGTCAGAATGTGTCTTTATTATATTATTATTTATTTCAAAGGGGCAAAATAATAATAAATAGGAGATGGAGAAGGAAGAAGAGGGGAAGGAAAAAAAAATCGAGTTTGTCTCCAAAGACATTAAGTAATACAGGACTTGATTTACAGGAGATGTTCATATAATTAGAAAACTCCATTGTTTCCAGAGCTAGATGAGTGTCTTTTTTTGTTTGTTTTTGTTTTTGGCTTTGTCCTTCTTGCCTCTTAAGGCCTCTGATTTCCAGATCCAGGACCTAGAAGTAAGTGTAGAGAGATTTTTAATTTTGTACTCTGATCCACAGTGACAGTGATACTCTTTCCTTTTAGGGAGGTGATAGCTGAACTGGAAGGGAGAACTTCTTAGCAGATTCTAGCTTCAGATATTCCTAGAAGGTTATAGCTATTCTGGAGCTATCCTGGAGCTAAGACTGATATTTAGTAAGACCAAGGAAGTGGTGAAACCAGAGTCTAGTTTGGATTCACTTATATAATATTAACTGCCAATGAACCTGAAGCTCTAAGGTAGTCCCTGATGGTGAGCCCCATGGCATTTGCCCAGGATCACAGTAAACCTCCCTAGGTGGCTCCTTGCCTGGAACCAATCTGGCCTGGTGTGGTTCATGAAAATGTAAACTCTACCCTAGCTCAGATCCTAAGAGAACGGCTTTACTGGGATTTTGAATAGCTCATTAATAGTAATAGTTAATAATCAAAGATAGCACAAGGAAATTAAGAAGTATAAACTTCCAGGTACAAAATAACTGGTTTTCCTGGGTCTTCAGAATAATCATGGAAGCCGATTCCTCACAATAAATCTCATCATTTTTATATAATCATATACATATATATATTTATATTATATATATATTCATATTTTATATATATATATATATATATATATATATATATATACACATATATATATATATTCTTTTCTTTGGAGAACCCTAACTAATATAAATGGAATAGAATAGAGGATTCAGAAATAAACTTTTGTGTATAATATGGTCAAATGATCTTCAATAAGGGTCAAATGATCTTCAATGGGAATAGGACAGTCTTTTCAACAAATGGTGTTGCTATTGGGAAAACTTGATATTCACATGCAAAAGAATGAAGTGGGACACTTACCTTACACCTTCTGAGTTAATAAAAATTAACCCAAAATGGATTAAAGAACTAAATATAAAATCTAAAACTATAACATTCTTAGAAGAAATGACACAGGAAAACTTTATGACGTTGGATGTGGCAATGATTTTTTTTGTAACAGTGATTAATAGATGAAATATTTTCTTTCTTTCTTTCTTTCTTTTTTTTTAAAGATTTTATTTATTTATTGGACAGACAGAGATCACGAGTAGGCAGAGAGGCAGGCAGAGAGAGAGGAGGAAGCAGGCTCCCCACAGAGCATAGAGTCAGATGTAGGGCTCGATCCCAGGACCCCGGGATCATGACCTGAGCCGAAGGCAGAGGCTTTAACCCACTGAGCCACCCAGGCGCCCCTCTTTATTTTTTTGAGTAATTTCTGATTTTATGATGAAATACTTCTCCCAATGATGTAAGTGGGCCTCAGCTTTTTTTTTTTAAGTTTTTATTTCAATTCCAGTTACTTAACATATAGTGTAATACTAGTTTCAGGGGTACAATATAGTGATTCAATACTTCCATACATCAACAACGCTTATTGCAACAAGTGTACTTCCTAATCTCCCTTCACCTATTTCACCCATTCCCCCCAACCACCTCCTTCTGGTAGCCATCTAGTTTGTTGTCTATAGTCAAGAGTCTGTTTTTTGGTTTTGGTAATGATTTCCTGAGTATGACACCAAAGGCACAGGCAACTAAAGCAAACATAGACAAATAGGACCACATCATACTCAAAAACTTTTATGCATCACTACTGGGTATTTACCCTCAGAATACAAAATCACTAATTGAAAGGAATATGTAATGATACATGGCATTATTTACAATAGCCAAATTATGCAAGCAGCCTGTGTCTACTGACAGATGAATGGATAAAGAAAATATGGTGTATATATATGTATATATAGATATATATACACAATGGAATATCATTCAGCCTTGAAAAGAATGAAATCTTCCCATTTTCAACAACATGGATGGAGCTAGAGAGTATAATGCTAAGCAAAGTAAGTCAGTCAGAAAAAGATAAGTATCATATGATTTCACTCACATGTGGAATTTAAGAAACAAAACAAAGGGAGATACATACCAAGAAATAGACTCTTAATGATAGAGGACAAACTGAAGGTTACTAGAGGGAGGCGGGTGGAGGGATGGGGGAAATAGGTGATAGGGATTAAAGAGTACACTTATCATGATGAGCACTGAATGAATCACTATGTTGTACCCTTGAAAAAATACAACACTATAAGTTGTATGTTAACTATACTGGAATTAAATAAAAGACCTAAAAAAAGATAATATAGAAAAAAAAAAAACCTGTGCATTAGACAACACAATCAACAGAGTGAAAAGGCAATCTATGGAATGGGAGAATATAGTTGCAAATCATGTATCTGATAAACAGTTAATGTCCTGAATATACAAAGAGCTCCTATAGCTCAATAACAAAAAGATCAAATAATTCAATTAAAATTGGGCAAAAAATCTGAACAGATGTTTCTCCAAAAATGATATACAAATAGTCAACAACATATGAGAAGATACTCAGCATCATTAATCATTAGGGAAATGCAAATCAAAACTACGAGATATCACTTCATACCTATTAGGATGGTTACTAATAGGTTACTATAAAAAAAAACCCCAGAAAATCACAAGTATTGAGGAGAATGTGGAGAAATTGGAACCCTTGTACACTCTTGGTAGGATTGTAAGATAGTGCAACCACCATGGAAAATCCTAAGAAGTTCCCTCAAAAAATTAAAAATAGAAATACCATATGTTCCATCAATTCTGCTTCTGGGTTTGTATCCAAAAAGAATTGAAAGCAGATCTCAAAGAGATATTTTCACACCCATGTTCATAGTAACACTATTCATAATAGTCAAGAGGTGGAAGCAGCCCAGATGTTCATCAACAGATCAATGGATAAAAAAAATGTGCTGTATGTATTTATATACTGTCACATGATACAACATGCACGGACCTCGAAGACATTATGCTAAGGAAAATGAACCAGCCACAAAAAGACAAATACTGCATAATTCCACTTATATGAGTTATCTAAAGTAGTCAAATTCTTAGCAACAGTAAGCAGAATGGTGGTCACCAGGGGCTGGGATGACGGGGAAAAGGGGAGTTGTTTAATAGGTGTAGAGTTTCACGTATCCAGTATGAAAAAGTTATGGAGATATGTTTCATGGCAGTGTGAATGTATTTAATGTCACAGAATTACACAATTAATAATAGTTAAGACAGTAAATTTTATGTTAATGTGGTTTTTACTGCAATAAAAAAGGAATGAGGTACTGATACATGCTACAACATGAATGGATCTTGAAAATATTATGTTAAGTAGAAGAACCCAGTCACCAAAGACCACATATATGATCCCATTATATGGAATGTTCAGAATAGGTAAATCTATAGTAGAAAGTACATTGGTAGCTACTTAGGGCTGGATGGGGGTGATTGGAGGAGATAAGAGAGGATGACAGCTAGTGAAGATAGGGTTTCTTTTGAGTGATGTAAATGTTCTAAAACTGACTGTGGTGATGGTTGTACATATCTGTGAATATACTGAAAACCCTTGAATATACACTTTAAATGGGTGAATTGTATAGCATATGAGTTATATCTCAATAAAGAACAAAGACAACAGATTAAAAATGAGAATATTTATCTCATTTTGACATATAACTATATTTAGAAGAACCAAGAAAAGTTATTTGTAGCACATATATATCATCTGGTTTTTATTGACCTTCAAATATCATGGAAAGAAATATAAAACATTTCACCCAGAAAGAAAGAATAATATCCTTTCCCACACACAT